CCATTAAAAGTATTAGTCCCCATAAATAGCTCCTACTTGAAGCACTGCCTCCAGCGACCTTCCAACCTGGATTATTCGTGATGTTCCCCGATCTTTCTAGAACTCATTACGTGTTACCTGCGTCAAGTGACTTCCGCTGTCGTAACAATATTATTTAATGAATACGCTGTATTTTTACCAGTACGTTTTGGATGTAGGTTCTTATAACGTCACGTTTTATACGTCTCATGTCTGTTGTAAGCATAATGATATTATTCAGTGAATACGCTGTATTTTTACCAGTATTTTTTATTAGTTCTTAGGATCTGTTCCTATTGTTAAACAGTTACTGTTCTAGTTCTATATTTTTTAAATTCTATTTCGATTGTTCGGGATATTATACCATTCGACTTCCGTATAGAATGTCTATAATCTATTGTGCTTATACGATATGTGAAAAAGTTTCATGAATGACAGGCAGACTTTGGAAACATTCGAAATGTTTGTAGTATAACTAAGATTTAAGCCAAAGTAATTCGGACATTTTTTCGTAAACCGACAAACATAACCTCACTCTTACTCATACATTTTTATATTCACCAGTTAGTAATAATGTTTTGCAATGTACTAGCGCCAAGTTTTACATAACTTTCTTTTATAAATGAGCACACACGTCTAACTTCAAATTCGTGAAACTCAATGAATCAGCTAATGTGTCAACCAAGAGCTCAAGTTACATTTGAAAGATGAATAACTCAAGTTATGAAACTATTATTCTTATTTTACAATGATATTGCCTGAATATTGTTAGATGAATGTGATTGCATTTGCCAACTTTAAATAGGTCGAAAAGTGTATATAATGTTGGTTGTCGTGAAGCACAAAGCCACACAAGAGTATCGAAACCAGGTTTTTAACGTTATCAGCCTTCTAACTTACCGCTGTGCTACAGGAAAACCTTAAAAAGTAATACAAATTTTAACCTGTTACATGTGAACGTCATAATTTTATATCAGCTCGACATTTAATAGGAATTACGGTTACCAATCTCAGGATTATCTTACCCCACCCCCTCACTCCAGTGTTCATACTATGTATCCGATGGTTAGGGTTCGCGTCCCATTCTGCCGAAACGCGTTTTTTACTATGGGATCGTGGGTATGCTACAACATTGACTATCAACTCCCACTATTTGGTTAGGCAAGCCCAAGAGTTGGCGGTGGGTACTGTTGACTAGCTGCCTTCTATTTGATCAATCAGTTTAAAATAGCCCCTATGTTTGCTTTACGCGAAATTTTTAAAACGAACAAATTTCCATCCCCCAGGAAGTGATTCTATGGTAGGGAACACAACCAATTGAAGATTAGTGATAAACCATGCTAAACACGTTGGTTAAACAAAATAATAAAACAAGAGGGTATCCTCAATAGCCGCAGCTGTAATTAGCTCTCAGATCGGTCAAGAGTTTGTTTGTTTTGAATTTCGCGCAAAGCTACACGAGGGCTATCTGCGCTAGCCGTCCCTAATTTACCAGTGTAAGGCTAAAGGGAATGCTGCTAGTCATCACCACCCACCGCCAACTTTTGGGCTACTCTTTTACCAACGAATAGTGGGATTGACCGTCACATTATAACGCCCCCCACGGCTGAAAGGACGAGCATGTTTGGTGGGACGGGGATTCGAATATGCGACCCGCAGATTGCGAGTCGAACGTCCTAGCCACCTGGCCATGCCGGACCCCATCGGTCAAGAGATCTATGAGCTAAATCTTTGTACTTGAAAAACAATGAGGAATTCTCAATAGACGCAGCTGTATTTAGACCTGAAATCGGTCAAGAGATGGCGTTATGAGGTAAAGGTGTGTACTTGAAAAAACTCAGAGCCGCGGCTAAAAACAAAATGACAGATGTAAAAATATTAAAATCGTGTATTTGTCAACGTAAGGTCTTTCCTATACTCTATACAATTTTTTCTTACCTTAAATTTTATAAGTATAAGTACTTATCAATGAAAGGCTCCTCAAATATGTATATAAATCCCAAAACTTTACACTGAGGCACTTACATTTTAAACGTCAGAAACTTAAAGGAAACAACAACAACAACAAAAAAAGACATTATCATACACTCCAATTTTATAACTTACTATACTACAGTTTCTACACTGAAAAATACAAAAGAATGGTTAAAAGAGCTATAAGGGACAGCAACATGTGTGGTTAACGTTTCAGCCAAATACCTTTAAATGGAACCCAAATTTTCTCGTGTTGTAGCAGTATTTAAGTTCTGTCATCTTCGTAAATGGGAGTAACTGAAAACAACATCTAATACAAATAACTAACCAATATTTTTATTTTTGAGAAAATAAACATTCTTTCTGTCAATAAAACGATAGATTGTCAGTGGCTCAGTATAGTGTTAATATCCATAAGAGAGTATTACTAGACTAGTAATGGTATCAGTAACTTGGTAAACTGTCTGATCTTGCACAATGTCAATATACAGATAAAATGTTAATAACCTAAGAAACTGGATAGACAATAAGAATGCCTATAGCCTGAGAGAGTGTCAGTGGCCTATTAGAGTGTCAATAGCCAGCTAAAGTACCAAGGTGCGTTTTTTGTTTTGTCCCTCCACTTCCGGTAGGTCTACTGCTTTCTTTATTGGACTCTTCCTCTACCAGAATTCTCTGCCGTCTCATCCACGTAGACATCACAAGAAATATGGCGACGTCCACTGTCATGTATCAGTCCAATAAAAGTGAAGGAAACCTATCTTCTGATTATTGCTTCTGGTTAAAATATACCTAAATAAACCCAACAATAAGGCTAAATTATACCTAAATAAACACAGCAATAAGGTTAAATTATACCTGAATAAACCCAACAATAAGGCTAAGTTATACCTAAGTAAACACAACAATAAGGCTAAATTATACCTAAAGTGTTTACCTAGGTATAATTTAACCTTATTGCTGTGTTTACCTAGGTATAATTTAACCTTATTGTTGTGTTTACTTAGGTATAATTTAGCCGTATTGTTGTGTTTATTTAGGTATAATTTAGCCTTATTGTTGTGTTTATTTAGGTATAATTTAGCCTTATTGTTATGTTTAAAACAATAAGGCTAAATTATACCTAAATAAACACAG